TATATAACTTTTTGCAAGCCGACAACTGGTGGGAGTCTAATGACCAGAACCAGGACTAGGTACGGACTGCAAAATCTGATCGATATGGGCAAGGTGAAGAGCAAATAGTTTTTCACTTAAAGCAGTTAGGGGTGTAGTGGTACCCGCCATAACCAATCCCTTCTGGTTCAACAGTTTTCTTGCATCTAAACATGATGCATAACATATTAACACCACAATCATAAGATTCATAACCAGTGTGAGACCTTACTAAATCACAAATCAAAGAATCCTACAATCATACATGGTTAGCATGGCAAACAAGTAGAGATACTATTCCAACATTTGAAACTGTATTGGGCTATTCCCATATCAGTACTACCTAGGGGTAGGTAGTACCATATCACTGAAGAGGCATAAATTATAGGGGAGTGCTAATGCCACCCCTTAATAGGGGTGTAAAATGTATTGGAATTTGGAGTTGCTTTAGTTCCCATCAAATGTCAAAATCAACAATAATATATATTATTTTTATTTTTATTGTTTTACACACACACACACAAACACACACACACACACACACATATATATATATATATATATATCTATATCTATACTACTTTATTAAGCATTTTCACTCAAAGTCTTAAAGTCTTAAATTTGTAAATACCCAAAATACCCCTTTACCTTTACCTTGCTTTACCTGTCTAATAATGATCCCCAAACCCCCATACGTCGGTTCGATTTACCGGCTCCCCTCCCCCTTTATGCTTTACCTATCTAATAATGATCCCCAAACCCCCGTATGTCGCTTCGATTTACCGGCTCCCCTCCCCAAGAAGACGTTCCAGAGAATGCTCCTCCCAAGACGACGATTCAAGATGACGATTCCTTTAAAATGGAGTTTCTACATGTTTCTGTCGTTCACCGCTTTGTGCTTATTCTCCATCGTTCCATTTGTAATCGCTCTGTTTTCTACTGGTTTCCATCAGGTAACACCGCTATCCATTTGTTGTTTTGGGTTTGTTTTGATTGTCTTGATTGTGCTGATTTGGGTTAGGGTTTTGATTAGTTTCTATCGTTCACCGCTTTGTGCTTATTCTCCATCGTTCCATCTGTAATCGCTTTGTTTTCTACTGGTTTCCATCAGGTAACACCGCTATCCATTTGCTGTTTTGGGTTTGTTTTGATTGTCTTGATTGTGCTGATTTGGGTTAGGGTTTTGATTGATCCCTGCTTAGTTTTATGAAATTCTTAGTTTTCTGTCTTCACAAACTAAAATGAGCTACTTACTGAATCAACTCCTGAGGAGTTGCTTCCCATGGGATTGTCAAATAGGGTGAACTTATATGAAAATGACAACGAATTTGGATAATTTGGAAATAGTATCGCAGACTAGAACCATAGCAATTGACAAGAATCAGCAGATATGTTAGTGTTGCTCGTTATATCCTAAGAGTGTTGCTCTTTAATTATTACATGTAGCAGGTAGAATGTTGTTCTCAAAAGAATGCATATTGTTTGTCATAAGTACACATTGTGTGATAACTGAGTTCTGGGTTATCACTCAAGGTAATTATGCATGATTATCTGATTAAGTGATTACGTGATAACATGCTAAATTGTTTTATTTAAATCATGCTAGCATATACGATGTGAATACATGTATGAGGTTATATATGTATATATGTACATGGGTATATATATATATATATATATGTGTGTGTGTGTGTGTGTATACATGAAAATATATATATATTTATATTAATATGTATTTTATATGCATGGGTGATATGCATATGGGTACGGATGTATATATATATATATATATATATATTATATGCAAGCATGATAAAAGTGGTATCAAGTATGCATATGAGTACATGTGTTGAGTAAGCATATTGAGTAAGCATGTTGAGAAAGCATGAGGTGTAAAGAGGAGAAGGAGTCGGTTTAGCCGACTTCATTTTTTTTGGCAAACATAAAAAGAGGCTTAGCCTCTTCAATTTTTTTATTCTTACCATTTTGAGAATTGAGAGGTTTAAAAAAAAAAAAAAAAAAAAAAGAGAGAGTTTGTCCGGATTAGTTTTGTCTGAAGATTCAAGTTGATTTCCAGATTTTTAGTTTCAAAAGCTTGATAAGGTGAGTGGTTTCTAAATCTTTTGCATAAAAATTTATTACTGATTTTATTAGTATGCTTCGTATTCTTATCTTTGAAATGGAACTTTGATTATATTGTCTAAGTATTTATCCGGACAAAGTTTGACTGGATAAGGGTTTAAACCGGAT